CTCTGTCTCTGGTGAAGCCTCTCGCCGCCCCTGAGCCTCTGGCCTGTACCCCAGTTCTGTATGCACAAATAAATAAATCTTTAAAAAAAAAATGTTCCTTTGTATGGCTCAGTTATCACTTCAATGTTTTCAATGATTGATAGTTTTCTTTCATCTTGATTTGAGATGGTTTACATGGTAAATGAATTTACAGACGAAAATAGGACTGTAGTGTTGCATGTAAGTCCATGCAACCCTCCCCAGGGGCAGAATTGGGCTGAAGGCATAAAGGAGCGTCGCAGAAGGAAAAGGTAGCCCGAGCTGGGCCCTGCGTGTGAGCACAGGTGGGAAAGAGGTAGAAAGAGTGCAGGTGCACAACTTGCCTGCAATACAATACGATTTGAAAATTACCATGACACTGAACACAGCTAGAAAGAGAGCGTGCTAAAAAGATTTTGTGGACACTAATAGTCCATTATTCTTGTTCTATCTACCAGCCCTACTTCTTGGAAGGAACGGATTTCAATTTTTACTCGCATGTAACTCTCTTTCTAAAAATATGCATTTATACTGCTAATACTTGATATGTCAGTTTTAGCCATTTACTATTAGTCCTTTTTATGGTGTAGAAGAATTTTACCACCTCCAGCTTGTGTGTGCGCGCACACACACACACATCTTCCTTCCCTTTCCATTTTCTTCTCCTTTGGTCTCTTGTCCTCCTCATGAAAAATCTGAATGTTTTCTGCTCCCTCCATATACATCAAATACCCTTAATGATTAGTTGTGTGAATTTGAGTAAGTGGATGGTCTTCTTTAGCGTAGAGTGCTTCAAACCCAGGTCAAGATGTTGGAAAATCAGTTCAGTGTGTTTTCACCAACATTTGAATAAAGAAGCAGAATGAGACAGGAGCAGTGGGCTGAACTGGGCTGGCATTGCCCAGGGAAAACAGGAGCTATTAGATCACATAGGTTAACCCTGTTTGTGTAGCTTTCATTTTAGACCTGTGTATATACTTTTGTAAGTATTGCTGTGGACCACAATAGAAAAGGTCTTTCTGAGGATCACAGTGAAAATATTTAAAATTAAAAAATATATAGAAATAACAATGGTCTTTTATGGAGCACTCATCAAGTTAACTTTTAATTTTTTTTTAAATTTATTTTATTTATTTATGCATCCAAGAGCTAAGGTACAGACCAGAGCTACTGGGGAGCAGGATGGTGAGAGGATTCACCAGAGACAGAGTGGGGAGCAGAAAAGGTGGATGGAAGAAGTCCACTGCTGAGGGGAGCGGTGGGGAGACAGGAGAGGTCTGTGTGCCCTTGGGTCAGCTCCCTGGCGGGGAAGGAACGTGCTGCAGTGGCTGCATACAGCTGCATAGTGCTGAGACTTCACCCTTTGCACCACCAGGGAGGCCCATCAAGCTAACGTTGTAATGGAAGGGTCTCCTAAGGACACAGTGTGAACACCTAGAGCGATTAAGTTTCTCTTGAGGTTTGTGTTTCAGGGTCCTGACTGGGGAATGTGTT